CCAAAGTCCCCGCAAGACAGCTGTCGTGGTGTCCTGGTGGTTCTATAGGGGGCACGTGAGAATGGGTGGGACCCACAGTCCATTTGAGCTGGGGTCTTTCTGATGAGGCGGTCCTTATGGGTGGGGAGCGGTGTCTCACATCTAGCCCAGTATGCAGGGGGTACCTGTAAAGGCTAAGATCACAGGCTTTGGATTCATGGACCTGGGTTTGAATCCCAGCTGTTTCTCTTGGTCCTGAGCCAATTCTGAAAGCCCTCCCTGCCTCGTTTTCCTCTCCTATACACTGATGCTAATAACAGTTCCCACCTCATGGAGCTATTGTTGAGATTAAATGAGCTAACACATGTAAGAAGCTGGTTCACAGTAAGTGCTTGGTAAATGTTAGCTACTATTATTAGTTGTTAATAGTGCTTACCAATTCCCCTGGCATATCTACTAGTTTCATAGTGCTAAGATTTTGTGTTGGTGGAAGGGATGTGAAATACTATTTGAATCCTTTTTTTTTTTTTTTTTTTTTTACTCATTCCTACATTTCCTCCACCCATCCCCATTTCATCACATAATAGGACAATTACTATGGTAGAACTATGGAGTATCATAGCTTGGAAGGGCCTGGAGATCAGATCGTGTAGCTCAAATTCCTCTCAGTCCATAGAGAAAAAGATGATGTTGCCTTCAATTATAAACCCTGACAGTCATGGGGTACTTACCTCATTCTTGGAAAATGGGATACTCGCATTAGATTCCCATGGGCAGTAACGTCAGGGCTGATGGACAACCAGCTGCAGGACCCCTCCTACACGTGACTTAGCCCATGCTAGAGCAGCCTTAGCTGCTGGAGCCCCCTGCCCCCCCCCCAACCCCCAAACATGCTGTACTGCTTCAGAGCTCAGCACACTACTGCCCTTGGCCACTGTCTTTGTAAAAAAAGCTTTATTGGAACACAGCCCATGCATTTGTTTACACATGAGCTGCTTTCATGCCACAACAGAGTTGAGTGCTTGTGACAGACTCTGTAGGACCCTCAAAGCCTTAAAATGGTTACCACCTAGCTCTTTACAGGTTTGTCAACTTGTTCCGGTGGCCCTCTCAGGAGAGGTGACCTCCTACCCCCTCTCCCTGGCAGACACGCACTGCTCTTTAGTTCTTGGTTCTAGACCATGCCTCTCTCTCAAACCTTCCTGATTCTCGATGCCAGGAGGCTGAACTTTCCACCACCATGAATCAGCCCTCCTTGGGCCAAGTCAGAGCCGGGCTCTTAATATTATTATTCTATTGCTTTTGTTTGTGGTCAGGTCTGTCTGGCTCATTGAACTGTGAGCTCTTGGAGGATGGAACCATGTCTTTTTCATCTTTGCTGCTGGTCCAGGGCCTGGCATATTACCAGAATCTTAATAAAGGAACGAGTGAATAAATGCACTCGAGAAATTTTATAGAAATTATTTTTATAGAAATTATCAAGCTTGTACAATATATCCCCAAATGGCACTAACCCTGCCAAGGGAAATCATGCTACCATGTGGATGGTCCCCAAGAGGCAGAGTTCTGTCCCTGTCTCCAGAGCAATCACATATCTCTGAGGTACAGGAGACTCTTTGCTTTTCTGAATTTCCCATTTTAGGCCATTCAACTCCTGTCCTTCCTGACATGACCACCAGGCACTCTGAGATCACCTACAAATGGAGAAAAGGGGAGGGTGGGTGGTGGCTGGCTATGTGCAGGCAGTGTCGTTTCCAGTGTTACCTTGAGCATCAGGCCCCATAAGAGGCATCTGAACAGAAATAGCTTCTTGCATATTCAATTGATTAGGGATTCTTCTGTTTTGAGAATTTGTGAGCAACCATAATCCCCCAGGGGCGCTGGGTCTGAAGGCTATCATTCAGGGCTAGTTAACTGCTCGAAGAGATTAGGTCCTTGCACCTGTTCAGAACTCAAGAATTTGGACTGAGGTAGACGATAATTGACCACATGCACCGCGGTCGGTCCTTTCAGACGAGGGTGCGTTCTGTCTTCTTCCTATGAATCAGAATCCCCACTACCAAACCTTAACCATTGTCATGACCATAACATAATAAGCACGCCCTCACCAACTCGACTTCCAAGGCCAAACGATAGCAACAATGAACGCGTAAATGACACCAAGGCTATCATAATGGACTACAACGTGCCCCCCCGCAAAAGTGGCTTACTTGGTGGGTCTAGTTGCGCGTTGGCCGAGGTCCCACCACCCCCACCCCAAGACCCACACCCTCTTGAGATGAACATGTAGCCCTATCCTCCCCCCTCACCAGCTGCCCACCGCCCACTAACCGCACCCCCACTGCCCCCTCCCGTGCCCCAAAAAACCAAAACTTACATATGTCATCCCTCCAACAGTCCAAGTAAAAATCACCATACCACCCCCCATCAAAAACCAAATGACCACCCCCCACCCCCACGGTTACCCAGACCACCTCAGTGCTAGTCCCTCACACCGGCCCCACACCCGACACCTCCTAAACAACCCCAACCATCCACTCTAGCTTTTCGCACATCACTATGCCAACACGCTCAAAACACACCCCCAATCCCAAACCAATGCAACCCCCATCATCTCCGAGTCAAACCACCAGCCCTGACCCAGTTCGATCCCAGCCAGGTATGCTCCGCGAACCAATGCCACCATCCTGCCTATTCCCTCCTTGCCTCCTTCCCCTCCTCCCATCCGTACCCTGTGCCGTAAATACTACCCCATAAGAAGTCCTTTTTTCACCCGTCCTCCCGCTCCACCAAAAAACCCCACCTCTGCTTTAAACACCACCAACACAGAGATCGTGAAATGAAGTGTATGAGTGGATGAGACTAATAGAACTACTGTTCAGCGCAAATCACACAGTTACCTACAAATTAAATGGTCCATCCTCTAGACTAGATACCCACCGCTACCATGCCCCATCTCTGCCCCCATTAAACCCCTCAAAAACCCATTCTCCCCATCCCTACCCTTCACTATGGACATTGTATTACCCTCCACTTGTGTCCATTTATTCGTTAAGCCCCATTTTACAGGCCCAGAAAACAGCCTACACTGCTATTGGAAAGACTTCCCTTGCTCCTTCATTAGCTGTGAGGAAAGCCTGTATGCTGTGGCCTTCTGCAGTGGTAGGTTTCCCTGGGGAAGGGATGGGAAATCTTGACATGTCCAAGTACGGGGTCATCCTTGAAGATAGGGAAGGGGATTAAATCAGTGATCTAAATGTATAAACACCACTTTAAAATGTATAGGCCTAACTTTAAAAATCACTAGAAGAAGCCATTCTACTCTAAGTTGGTGAGAGAAAAAAGTGATTTTTATGGAGAAGCACACTCTTTCCTGTGTGGAAGACATTAACAAGTCTGTCAAAGGATTCCTTAGAAGCTCTTGACTTACCCTTATTATTTTGCCTAAGCGCTACTGGAAAACTCCTTAGGGGGGATACGGAGAGGAGGTCTCTCTTGCTCCTTCATTAGCTGTGAGGAAAGCCCACATGCTGTGGCCTTCTGGAGTGGCAGTGTCCACAGGGTGCCTTGATGCTTCCCAGCCTTCCTCGGTGGAGGCGTGAAGGAGGGAGCAAGGCTGCTGGTCCTCCCTGACAGCACACACCAAACTCCATACCTCAGAGAGAAATCCACTTTTACAAAATGTGTTTACTTCATATATGCAGGACTAACATCGGTCAAAAAACTTCTTGGTCTACATGTAGGAGTTACAAAAAAAGTCTGTCAAAAGTTGCAGCAAAGAGAGACTTTTTCATCCATCTCTGGGTCAGTTCAACTAAGATGGTGGAGGAGTTAGGAGCAGAAGAGAGAGAGAAGCTGTGTTCACCTTCTAGGTTTATTCTATCCCTTACATTTTTGTTGTAAGGCCCATGTAGCTCTTGCCAGGACATCTTTTCATTCAGAATACCACTCAAAACCAAATAACCAAGGAGCTGGATCTAATGCTGTAGATACAACGGTTCTTTGTAGCACAAAAGGAACCCTAACACCAGACTGGGTTTTCTGTTCTGTAAGTAGGAAAGAAATTAAAACTCTAAAAGGTGACACACCACAGTTTAGAGCCATGTTGAAATCGGGGGCTTTCAGTTCATATCCAATTGTTGACAAAACTGAGCCCTGGAGGTGTTTTCCTTTTTCATCTCAACATTTCACTCATCTTAAAATTTCAGAGGAAAAAAAAATCCAAAATGCAAAGAGTTTTCAAAAAACTTTCTTTTTAAAGCAAATGGCCCCATGAAAGCAGGAGGTCATCGGGCCTCACTGTGTGTGTACTGAGTTTGGAGAGCTATGCAGAGGGCAGTGGCCTATTAGCAACACATTTTAAAACACAACTCACCCCAAACCTGTACAGAACAGTTTCAAAGCCTTAGGAGCGACAGAGAATACATATTTTATGAGTTGGTTGGAGAACAATCCTGCCTTTTTCTAGTTAACACATTGAGGAGTGTCCCTATGTCCACGGACAAGGACAGACTAAGAGGAAACACATGAAGGGTGTTTTTGGAAGAATCCTGTCCCAGGGAGCTGATCACCGTGGGCCCGCACCACAACATGTTGTCCTTGCTTGGTGGTGCTTTCTCAAGTTTCGGGCTGTCACTCAAAATGCCCCATTTACAGGTTGAGAAATTTGGCACACAACAAGCCCACTCTTCTCCCCACTCTTTGCATTTCTGATTCTTCTGTTGCCCTCTGCGTGAACTGCAAATCTGTGTCTTAGGTGAAAAGGCAAACCAACAACCCTTGAGATCTTTCCCAGGGCCATGAGTGGCCTGGACAAAGGTCACGGAGGAGACATTAAAGGGCCTTAACAGAGCCACGTGGGAGCACACGCAGGCTCTCACTTAAGCTCCGCCCCCTTATGGGACCGGTCTTATGAGGCTGAGGCTCCTGCCTCTGAGAGACGCCCCTCCCAAGATTCTTATCTCCAACTGCTGGAGGGTCAGCCACTTTCAAAACACAGATGAGGCCTCTTTGTTCAACTCTGACCCTGAAAACAGTGACATTTTAATGCATCAGACCTGCGGTGGCTTCTACAACCTTGTGGGTCTATTCACCATCACAGACCCCACAAACCGATCAACAGCTCATGCCAGGGACTGTTCCTTCTCTTGCCTATCCCCAGAGGCACTGTGCCCATCCACACAACCCACATCTAAGCGTGTCTCCTCCACGGGCTGAAAAGAACGCTTCTCGGAATGTGAAGCATGAATATAAAAGGGCTTCCCATGACAGTGATCACTGAATCATGGGGAATAAAGCCAGAAGGCGAATTTGCAATTCATCACATTATCCCCTGTTGTCTCAAATGTGATTCTTTTAAAGGCAGGCTGCATAGACACTCTTAAAGCATTTTTTTCTTCATGTAGCACATGGTATATTCTTGTTTGCGCAGAATATCCGAATGAGGATAAAACGATAAAAAAAAATTACAATAGATTAATGCATCCCTTGAATCACATTATATTTTTGGTGCATTAAAAAAAGGAGGAAAAGAGAAAGAAAGCAACCAGCATAATAAACTCAGCCTAGAGAAATGTGTTAGTGATTGAAGGGTTAACACGGATTTTAGAAGTGGTTAAAAATAGTATTAGAGGATTATACATACAACAGTTTGAAATTCATATGCATTGCGGTTTTTTCTTTTAAAAATGGCAAAATGTTTGGCAAATGTAAGCAAATGACTTGGACTGTGTGGGTTTCACCGGCTCTGAGAGAAGTCGGTCATAGCCAGGCGAGGCCCACTGCTTCCTGAGGTCACTCTGCGGGGCTGGGGGGTGCTGTGGGGGGAGGGGAGGTGCTGTGCCCCCCCCCCCATGCCCGGTTCCCCCCGGGGCCCTCAGTCTTGAACATGAACATGGAGCTGGTGAGAGATGCCAACTACAGACTCCAGCACGGATCACCCATTAGCATCGCTGAGAGAACTCTGGGGCCTTGAACCACATGCAGACTGGGTGAGTCGTCTACACAATGACCCATATTGCAAAAGTAAGAGGAGGGGACACCCGCTCCTGCGACTTGTGTGCCCCCCACCCTCGCGTGGAGGGGGCAGGTGGCACAGGGTGTGTCGCTAGTGCTTATCCTGGCAATGTTGTCAACTTGTGTTTTTTAGTAGACTTTTAAAAAAATTTGTATGTGTATGTATATCCAGAAAGGTCCATCCTCCAAGCGGGCCACCATTAGTTCCCTGAATTTGGCAGTGCCTGTTGCTTGCAGCTGTCGGCATCCCGAAAAAAACCACGAGGTGCCTTCAAAGAGTAGACTCTGGGCCCAGCAGGTCGCACGCCAGACACGTGATCCCATGTTCTCCTTATTCTGAATCCTATCTGGCTCTGATTTTGAGAAAGAGGACAAGGGCTGTGTTGTGTGTGTTGTATGTGTGTGTGTGTGCGCATGTAGGTGTGTGTCTCTGTACTGAGTTTTGCTTTTTCTTTTTTTTTTTGAAACTTTTTCTTTTTTTAGGAAAAATGACCCTTTGATTCCTAATACAGAGTTCAACCTCCTTTCGTCACTATAAAACGGACTCCATGTTTTCACACCACTCATGATCTTCAAGGTTATAGATAAATTTTGTCCTATGGGTCTGGCTTGCGGGCACAGGGTCCCTCCCCAGATTGTCTAGGGTCAGAGTAGAGGCAAAGAACTCACTGGTGCTCAGCCCGCCCTCGTGGTTTTTGATGTAGCGTTTATAGTTTTTCCTCAGGCACTGCCACGTGGTTGTGTAGAGGACAAAGGCGGAGGACTTCAGAACGATGGCGATGCTGACATACAGGTATCTGTAGGCCACGTTGTCATACAGGACACAGGCGCCTTGCTCCCCGCAGAACGTGCTCCAGAACAGGCAGGTGGAGTCAATGCCGGCCCCAAAGATGAGGGGAGGGGGAATGAAGCCTGTGAGAGGGGAAGAAACACGTCACACTCATGCTCTGGCCTCTCCCCATCCATACGCATGCACTGCTCTCTTTACAGGACCACCGGGCTAGGGGGTCCCACTGGGCCTCTGACTCCATGGCACAGGGCTGGAAAGACTGGAGTCCAAACTCCAGTTCTGCTCAAACCTGTGCCCAGTTGTCAAGTCCCCCTGGGCTGTTATTTTCTCATCTGCAAAATGGGGATAATATCACTCCTGCTGAGACTGCTCAGAAGACTGACCAAATGAAGCCATGGAAAGCATTTAGAAGGACGCCTAGAACACAAACAAGATGAATGACGGCTGCTACTAGTCTCATCTGCTGATAGGCTGAGAAGGAAAAAGCTGGTCTTCTCTGGAGGGACCATTCCTCGTGTTGAAGCAGTGCAACCTCATTGAGGGAAATGCAAGGAGGTAGTGCACTCCGTGTATCGTGTTCCTGCACAGCGCTTCCATGGCTATGTGTGTGAGTGGAGGGAGCAGGGACCGGAAGGGACCAGAAGTTGAACAGGAGTACACTTTACCTTATGTATAGACACATACGTGTATACATGCATGCACGTGTGTAAAATGCACAGATAAATGTGTATGCATCCATCATTTAAGATGAAAAATATCTGCATGCAAGCTAACAATTTCCCTTCCCCTAGACATCACCACTGCATTGAATTCTTCTCATTCTGAGCTGAGAACCAGTTTTAAAACCTTCACCATGGAGTATTCCACATGCTTCCAACCAATGATCAAAAATGGCAGAGGGGATGAGAACTACTCTCCTTAACTCAGGTCTGTGTTTCTGGCCCTTGTCCAAGCCCGAAGGTCATCAGTCCTGGCTGCACATTTATAATCATCCAAGGTGTTCCATCCTAGAACAATTAAATTAGAATGTTTGGTGTGTGGCCAGGTCATTGGCATTGTGAAAGCATCTCCTGGTGATTCTGGCCATTGGGAGGGAGAGGGGGAGGGTGGGGGAAGCGTTTCATCCGTACTGTGGGAAATCAGTAGATGGCCCATTAATACAAATTAATTGCCTCACACTAAAAGTATCCCCAAGACCAGAATGTGGTGCCAATCACATTCAGGGAGAGCCCTCAGGGCAGAACATGATCACTGGAAGCAGGTACCAAGAGATCTGAGATCCCAGTCCTGAGGTAGCCTGCGAGCTGGATGATATTTCTAGGGTCAGCCCTGGAGTGTCAGTTGCACTTTGTGAATCTGAAGTGATGAGATATAGATCCTTCGCCCGGGAAGGTACATCTACCCCCAAAAAATCACACCATGTTTCAGGGGGTTCATGGACCCCTGAAGTCCATTCATGATCACCAGAATGAGAACACCTGTGTCATCCATGCTGCAGACCCTCCTTTCGGATGGACCCTCCGAGGGCAGCCAGGGAGGGAAAGCAAAACAGCCCTTCCTTTGTTTTAAGGACAGGCTCAGAAGGGCTGAGAGAGGGACCGCACTGTCCCATCAGTCCTAATGAGGTTGGCCGAGCTCCTGGCTCTCCAGATGCCTCAGCACTTAGCCTAGCCTTAGCACTCCTCAGCTCTGTCCCATGTTAGCCTGCAGAGAAACCCTGAGAAGGAATTTTAGTTGGAAACCTCATTAAACTGCCCAAGCAGCTCGATTCAACAAGTAAACTCCAGGCTCAAAATCCTGCAGGCAGCTTCCAAGTCTGCCTGGGCCCACCCCTTGGAAAGTCCTCATAAGAAGGCTGCCCCAGGATCCAAGGCCTTCCTCACCAACCAGTGGGTACTCTCCCACCCCCCACCCCACACCCCCAACAAATGCCTTTCTTCATTTAACTCAAAAGGAGCCCCCTGGACTAACTGCTCTGACAACCACATAGGAGAAACTAAGTCACACTCCACATTATTTAAGTAAAGAAATGGAGAACTGGAGCCAATTTATATTGATGACTTAGGAAAAAGAACAAATCTGTTTCTCGGGCCCATTGGGATTGTGTGAATCCATTCACCTATTTCTCTGGATTTTAGGAGACTGTGATAGCCCCTCCCTCCTCTTCTGCCTTTCCTGAGGTCACTTTGTCCTAGCCTTCCCATTCATCACCAGGCCATGGGGGTGCCAAGACCTGGATACCTCTGGCAACAGTTCTGCCATGGGAAGGGAGTGACAGCACAGGGGCCCCTCGCTCCTCAATGCAAAAGGGCTGAAAGAGTCACAAACACATCCACACGGGGCAAATGTGGTCCTATTTTCAGCACATTGGAGATTTGCAACATAAAGGAGTCATTATTTAATACCTGCTTGGACCAAAATAGTCCTCTAAATTGCCAATATGCAACTCCTTCATAGATCTGTATCTGAGTGAGGGTTTTTAAAATATTGTGTTATCTTTAAAGTAGGGCATCCCTCTTTGTGTTAACGTGTCAATTTTATCCTGCCTCCTGTCAAGCTCTATTACCAGATGACGCAGCCCTGGAAGGAGTCAGAAAAAGCCTTCAAACTAGAAAAAGTTTTTTCATATTTTGGAGAACCTTTGTGATAGGGAAGAAAGAACCTTTGAGTCAAAAGCCTTAGGGGCAAGTCACTTCATTCCTTGGTACCTCAGTTTCCTGATCTTTAAAATGGAGCTAATACTGCGCACCTAGCCAGGATCAAGGCGAGCATTGGTACAGACGAAGTGTTATGCGTAGGTCTGGTCCTTCCACCTGGCCAGAGCTTCTGGCACCTGATTTATGTTATACAGGGGATTTGGGGTAACACTTTAGAATAAAGTCCAGGTTCAATACTTTCAGTATAACTGTTATGAGGTTCCTTTTCTATATGAAAAAAAAATATTGGCTTTTCCATGGAATTCATCTTTTTCCTTTATAGGGACTTAAATTCTTCCCTAAAGGGGGGCTCTGGGTCTCAGGTGTGCAGAGAATACTAGAGAGGAAGAACAGACTGGATCTCATTCATCAGAGGTCATGCTAGCACATGCCTGATTAGTCACAGCAGGGAGTTCCACCTGATGGCTAATTCTCATGTGCAGGCACTCATCATTCTGTTTATCACTCAGGTAGACCAAACAAACCCGTCCCTGCAGGATCCTGCCTCCCCAGACACCAATGGGAGACTGTGGTGGTAGTTAATGAAGGGAAACCTCCTTAAAATGGAACAGGGAGGACAGAAGGGGGAGCCATATAACAAGAACAACTCAACTGTCAATTACAGACCCCCAACAGGGAAAGGTACACACATTGTATCTCCTACAAGAAATGGACTACCCCAGCCACTCAGCCATAAGAGCCCGTCTTCACCCTCAACTCTTGCTTTTCTCCAATAGACTTTCATTCAGAACCCCTCCCGACCTCTTGATTCTTCTCCATAAAGTAACCTTCCTCTCCTTTATGGCAGAACTTGCCTATGGTTTTGCTGTAGCTTACATATCCGGAACTGCAATTCTATTTATTATTGTTGATTTTTTTTTTTTTTTTGCTGGTGAAATAATGAGATTTTTAAGGTTAACACTATTTAGCGATCAGAGTGGGATCCAGAGAGAACCTGCACCAGCTCCATGAGCAAACTAGTGCTGGCACCCTCAGAGCCATGTGAGCTACTTTTCTGCTGACCTTAGACTTTGAAGGTAAGTTTTCTTCTGGAGATCAAGCTCCACGCTGGGTTTTGAGCTCTCCAGACTTTATTCGAGATCTGTTTTAAGGCTTTGTTCTTTCTGAGAGCACTCATTTGGCCTTTGGTAGGATTCCTTTTGGAACCGGAATGTTGCTGTTGAAAAACTGCACTGTTTAGGAAATTCTTGTTTCTCTAGAGAATAAACCTCTAAGAAATGGGGTTCCAGCCCTCAAAATGCTTTAGAGGGTGCTGTCCGCCTTCTGGGACCACAAATGGTTTTATGTTGAAAAGCTGCAGTCTCTCTTCACATGCATTTCTAACTAAATGGACCAACTTCACCAAAAGAAATTTTCAATTTTAGTGGGGAACCCTTCCATTTCCTAAATTTACTTTTCTCAAAACTGAATTGGACAGGACTGGTTCTAAAATTGTCTACTGAATGGGATGCCTATATTGATTGCTATTTTTGAAGCTTCCAAACGTTGTCAGAAATCTGAAATTTATACTAGCTGCATCAAAGGAAACAGGGTGGCTGAGGCCACTTTCCCCCTTCCCTGTTCTCTTGGTCTCAGAATGTATGGCAGCTTCCTGGCTCAAGTACAGCCTCTGAGGCCATTTCCCTTATTGGCTCACCTTCCCTCTCCCTCTGAAGGAACGCCTCGCTCCTCTCCCTAATAAGCCCCACATTTCTTATGTTCCCTGGAATAAGGTCAAATTGTGAGCCACAGTTAAAGAGTTTCCTAAAGTAAATGAGGACTCCTGTAAGGTGTGCTGAAGAATTTAACAGAGTTATTAAAATTTACCAACCTGGTTCCTCAGATTTAAATTAGTCCACGTGCTTATTGCCGAGGGCCAGGTGAAACAATGGATGGAACTAGCCCAATGGGAACATCCTGAAGGGGATTTAGAGAAAACAGACCCCTAGCTTTTGGCAGGATGCTAGAACACTTGCTGGAAAGCTCCACTAAGCAATTATGGTAGCTTTGGAACAAAATTTAGATTTGCACACAAAAGCCTGGTGAACTTGTTCATGACTATTACAATCAACTCCAAATTGTCTTTTTTAATAAAGATTTTATTTTTATTTATTTATATTTTTTTGATTTTATTTATTTATGAGAGACACACACACACACACACAGAGGTAGAGACACAGGCAGAGAGAGAAGCAGGCTCCACTCAGGGAGCCCGATGTGGGACTCGATACCAGGACTCCAGGATCATGCCCTGCGCCAAAGACAGGCACTCAACCGCTGAGCCACCCAGGCATCCCCCAAATTGTCTTTAAAGAACATTCTGGTCTTCCTTTAGATGTAGAATCCACCTGGGTAGCATTGAACTCAATTTATTATTATTACTATTATTATTATTATTATTGAAATGGAGTACATGAAAATCCCAA